AGGAGTAGTACCTGCCACAGGGAAGCCAGTAGCACCTGGCTGAAGACTGAGAAGGTGGCGAAGAGCACCAGTAGCTCCACCAGGACCTCCAGCACCTCCAGCACCTCCAGCCCCAGCAGCTTCGGCGCCTCCAGCACCAGCAGCTCTAGCAGCTCCACGACCTCCAGCACCAGCAGTACCTCCAGTACCTCCAGCACCAGCAGCTCCACGACCTCCAGCACCAGCAGCACCTCCAGTACCTCCAGCACCAGCAGCTCCACCAGGACCAGCAGCATCTGCAGCTCCCCGACCTCCAGCACCAGCAGCACCTCCAGTACCTCCAGCACCTCCAGGACCTCCAGCACCAGCAGCACCTCCAGGACCTCCAGCACCAGCAGTACCTCCAGTACCTCCAGCACCAGTAGCTCCAGGTCCTCCGGTAGGAGCTCCGACGACACCAACACCAGAAGGACTCGCAGCACCCCCAGAGTCAGCACTCGAACTCGAAGCACCCCCAGAGGCAGCACCCTCGGTCTCAGCACTCGCAGGCTCAGTACCCTCAGTCGCAGCACCCTCAGGCCCAGTACCCTCAGTCCCAGCACCCCCAGGCTCAGTACCCTCAGTCCCAGCACCCCCAGGCTCAGTACCCTCAGTCCCAGCACCCCCAGGCTCAGTACCCTCAGTCCCAGCACCCCCAGGCTCAGTACCCTCAATCTCTGCTCCAGTGTCCACAGCAGCAGGCTGCAGAGGCGGCGAAGACGGCCGTGGCGGGAAACCCGGGGGGGTCTCCAAGCGAGGAGTGCGGCGAGTGGTCGCCGTGTCGTCGGCGACGGCGTCACCCCCCTCAGGTGAGTTAGAGGAGTCAGAAGAGATCTCAACTGGCTCATCCAAGGGGGGTGGGTCTACCTGGGACACACCTGAGGGAGCAGGACCCTGTGGGGGAAGGGGGTCTACCGGGGGGGGGGACTGGTACCAGGAAGAGAGGTGCGAGAGGGACCGGGTGGGACGCGTGTGGGTGAAGTCGGTAGTAATAGACCGACTTGTCAAAGGTGACATCCTGAGAGGACAGAACACGACGCGAGGCAGGGTGGTAGAACTGCCAGGGTGGAGCGTCGGTGGGGAAGCCCAGGAAGACACAGCGGAGAGTGCGAGGGGAGAGCTTGCTCGCTTTGGTATCGCGAACAAGGGAGAGCGCGCCCCAGACCCGAAACGACGACGCATCACCAGGCTGTCCCGTCCAACGGAGTGTGGGCGAGGTCTCTGGAGCAGAGACACGGGGCCAGAGGTTGAGCTGATGCGCGGCGTATCGGACCGCAAACGGTCACAGGAAATGGGGAGCAGCCGCATGGATCATGGAGGTACGAGCAACCTCCATGATCAGGCCAATGCGACGCTCAGCGATCCCATTTTGCTGCGGAGAGGCCGGAAGCGTGAACGACTGGCGGATGCCCTCATCCTGGCGGAACGTCTCAAGGACGCCAGAGGAGAACTCACCACCCCTGTCAGAGTGCAGACGCAGGACTGGGAAGTCCTGCTGAAAGCGCTCGTGCAGCTGGAGACGAGTAGCACGGATCCAGCGGATCAAGACACCACTGACATCCGCCTTGCGCCGCAAGGGGAAGACTGTGGTGTAGCGTGTGTAGTCGTCAACCACCAGCAGGAAGTAGCGCTCCTGGTCCGTTCCACCGACGGGGGCCGGGCCCCACACGTCCATGTGGAGAGTCTGCAGAGGAGCAGTGGTCGGAGGAAACTCGGAGGAGTGAGGAGCGGCGCGCTGCCGCCCCTCGACGCAAGGAAGGCACGGCGGCGCAAGTGAGCGCGGGAGGGGGGGCAGGGTCTCAGGGAGGCCAGTGACCAGGAGCCGGGAGTGCATGCGGCGCAGACGCTGCAGGGAGGGGTGACCAAGACGGTGGTGCCAGCGCTGAGTCTCGTGCGTGAGTACTCGGCACGAGCAAGACGCAGCTAACTGCCCTAACGCAGACGCTCGACTCGACGTAGCTACCTGACCTGACTCAGCCACCTGTGCAGACGCAGTGGTCAGTGTGTACAGACTAGACCCAGGCTGTCGAGTGAACGTAGCCAGGTGACGGCCAGTCCGGGAGCACGTACAGATCGCCACACGCTGCCCTCCAGGAATAAAGGTATCAACCCAGACATCCTGAATGGCAGCGTTGCTCACCAAGTTCGTTGAGAACGTGGGGAGGTGGAGACCTGACAAAGAGCCGGAGGGGACTGCTGGACAAGGGAGGACCGTGGAGGCTCTCACAACCACTGGGCCCCCAGAGGGGTCAGCCAGTGAGACTGGGACAGGTGCTGTGAGTGGTGTGACTGTGGTGCAATCACGGAAGAAGCAACGTGACGCGCCGGAGTCAAGCGTGAACGTGTGCAAGACCTCAGCTGAGGCAGGACCTGTGGTAGTAGACGCACTAGCAACTAGAGCGTCGGTAGACTCACGGGCACCTAGAGCTGCAGCAGACTCACTAGCACCTGGAGTGGCAGCAGACTCACTAACACCTGGAGTGGCAGCAGACTGACTAACACCTGGAGTGGCAGCAGACTCACTAACACCAAGAGCAGCGGTCTTAACATAACGATAACCTCCACCACCAGGACGACCTCGCTGAATAACCCACTCACGAATCTGCTGAGGGGTGGGGTCGTCCGGGAGAAGCAGTGCCCGCTGCTGTCCACCCCTGGCCGCAGCGACTGCCGCGGAAGTGGCCATGACAGACAGTGACTGTCAGGAGTAGGTCCAGCACCTCCAGCTCCTACAGCGCCAGCAGCACCTCCTACACTCCCAGCAGCACCTCCTCCACTCCCAGTAGCACAAGTAGCAGCAGCAGCAGTAGTAACAGCAGCAGGGCGGTTCGGTGGGGGTGGGAGGCCGCACCTCCACCACTCCCAGCAGTACTCCCTCCAGTAGCAGCAGTAGCAGGGCGGCTCGGGCAGCAGCAGCAGACCGAGCAGCAGCAGCAGCAGCAGTAGCACTAGCTGTAGCAAGTGCAGTAGTAGGAGCTGCAGCAGTAGCACTAGCTGTAGCAAGTGAAGTAGTAGGAGCTGCAGCAGTAGTACTAGCTGTACCAAGTGAAGTAGTAGGAGCTGCAGCAGTAGCTTCAGTCAGGAGCAGCTGCAGTAAGTGCTGGAGTAGGAGCTGCAGCAGTAGCACTAGCTGTAGCAGAAGTAGCTTCAGTCAGTACCAGCTGTACCAAGTGCAGTAGTAGGAGCTGCAGCAGTAGCACTAGCTGTAGCTGGAGTAGCTTCAGTCAATAGTAGCTGTAGCAAGTGCTGGAGTAGCTTCAGTCAATAGTAGCTGTAGCAAGTGCTGGAGTAGGAGCTGCAGCAGTAGCACTAGCTGTAGCAGCCGTAGCTTCAGTCAGTAGCAGCTGTAGCAAGTGCCGTAGTAGCAGCAGCAGCAGTAGCACTAGCTGTAGCAGCACTAGCTTCAGTAGCAGCAGCAGTGAGTAGCGCTAGCTGTAACAGGAGTAGCGTCAGTAGCAGCAGCAGTGAGTAGCGCTAGCTGTAGCAGCAGTAGCTTCAGTAGCAGCAGCAGTGAGTAGCACTAGCTGTAGCAGCACTAGCTTCAGTAGCAGCAGCAGTGAGTAGCACTAGCTGTAGCAGCACTAGCTTCAGTAGCAGCAGCAGTGAGTAGCACTAGCTGTAGCAGCAGTAGCGTCAGTAGCAGCAGCAGTGACAGCTCGGGCTGGGCAGCGCGTAGTAGCAGTAGGCGCGCGTGGGCTGTGGGCGTGCAAACCAGGGGCGCGCAACAGGTGCGTGCGGGGCGGCACTACGAGGAGCGCGCATCAGGTGCGTGCTAGGGGCTGGCGGGCAGCGTGAGTGGCGCGCGCAGCAGCAGGAACGAGGGGGGGACCGGGCGTAGGGGCTGACGGGCCGCGCGAGAGGCGCACGGGGCAGCTAGGGCTCGGTCAGGGGGGTCGCACGTGACTAGGAACAGAAAATTGCGTCTAGGCAGAAAAGGGAACCGTCTCGCCTAGGGCACGTTTTCGCATTTCGCGTTTCTCCTAGGGGCGCGACTCGGGCAGCAGGTCGAAATAGTAGTGGTGGGCCCTTTTAAAATTTCGGTCCTAAGGAGCATTGTGCTCTTAATACCATGTTAGAGTTACTAGCTAGATGAGTGAGTTCGATTAGGTAAGGGGGGGGTACAAGGACTATCGAGAGAGATTGTTGTACCCTCTAAGGAAAGAACCCTACACAACCTAGAGTGAAATAAGCAGAACAATATGTTTTGACACGCGTCCAGTCAGGATGTGCTGGCATGACGTGTGTTTTCCTCTGTGTGCTGGCAGAATATCGCTCGCGCGCGATTCTGCTTTGTGACGCCAAAAAAATTCGACTCGGTTGAAATGGCAAAAAGAAAATGAAACACTTTGGTGCTATAAATATATAATTTTGTATTGTCATTATATAAGCGCCGGCGCTTATGGCCGTTACTCAATTACAAGCGCCACCCCCTAAAAAAATGATTTTATTATAAGCGCATATGCGCTTATATCCGGGGCTATACGGTATATTCTTCGCTCATGCCTTCGCTCATTTGTACTCTTGCTTCGATAGTGCAATTCTCGCTCGTTCACTCAATTGCACTCGTAACACCCACCCACCCAAGCCTCCAGGTGGTGCTTCGACTTTGTTGCACCATGAAAGATACAGAAAAGCACAAATAATTTCCAGCCGTTTTGTAGTGTCTTTTCAACGTCACACGCATACGGTACATGTCTCCATCCCGGCCTGCTCTGCTGATGACTTGCGGCAGCATGCAATGAATGACATGCTGCTGTATGCACCTTCCATTATGAAGTACGGTATCCCTCACCTCATTGCTCCCCTCTCTCTCTCTCTCCCTCCCCGTCTCCTCCCCTCACCCACTTTCCCTATCCACCCCCCTCCTCCCTTTCTTCCATTGCTCCGCCCACCCTCTCTTCCCCGACCTTCCTCGTTCCTCCGGCTTTTCCCCTGTTGCTTCCACCACAGCAGCACAGGTGGCTGCAGCCCCTCGTCTCCCTTCACCCACTCTCACTTTTCCCTCCCCTTCCTCCCTTTCTACCATCATTCCTCCTCGGCTCTCTTCCCCGTCCTCCCTCCACCTTGCTCTTTCCTCCCTGCTGCTTCCACCACAGCAGTTCAGATGGCACCAGCTGCTCATCTCCCTCCACTGCTGCTGCAGCAGCGTGCTTCGCCACCCACCCATGGTATATCAGACCGCGTGACCCAAGGCCTCCCACTATCCACACCGATGGGCCCTGTGGGGCAGCAGGAGCAGCAGGAGCAGCGCCAGCAACACCACCTTCCTCCACGCCCTTCTCTCCCACGCCCTCACTCCCTCCCAACGCACCGCCCCTCTCCACCTCCCCCCCGTGCCCATTCCTCCCCTCACTCCCTCCCCCCACCACCCCTAGCACCACCCCTTCCACTCGTCCCGCCACTGGCACACGGCCTAGGGATGAGCGAGGGGGCATAGCCCTTATGCCTGTCACACTGCGCACTATCTCCCAGGCGGAAAGAGCTGGGAGGAGAGAGGTGAGGGAGGTGACAAGGGTGGCCGAGGCTGCAGCGATTTCATCGGGAGGGGGAGGCGGGAAGGGTGCGAAGGGGGGAGATGATGGAGTGGTGGTGCTGGTGGTGGTGCTGGTGCCGGTGCTGGTGCTGTGGGGAAAAGAAGGATATGGTGTAAAAGGCACAGGGGGGAGCGGGAGGTTGTGGTTGGTGGCACCAACGACAATGCGGTGAGGAGCGCGGGCAGACACCCATGTGGAGCCGAGGAGACTGGGTGCAGATGCTGGATAGAGGGGAGGCGAGGATGGGGGTGAAGGGGGAGGGAGTGTGGAGGAAGGAGAGGAGGGAGGAGGGTGGGAGGATGAAGGGGATTGGGAGGAGGGAGGAGGTGAGAGGTGAAGGATGTGGCCTCGAGAGAGTGAGAAGGAGGAGAGATGGGGAGCGATTTCAGGAAGAGTGAGTGCGTGGGCACCCATACACACAAAGACAATGTCAAAGGAGAAACTGCTGCTGCTGCTGCAACTGCCACCACTGCTTCTGCCGCTGTCACTACCACTGCTGCTGCTGCTGCCAACACTGTCGGTGGTGGTGGCAGGCAGAGATGCGAGGGTGGCCAGGGAGGGCAGGGAGGCCAGCACTAGGCGAGCGTGGGTGCCTGGACTGCTGCCTTCTGCTGCCTCTCGTGCAAAGCGCACACACGCACCCCACAGGGACTGTGGAGAGTAGGGATCGGAGGGTGGGGTTGAGGGTGGGGATGGGAGTGGGAGCGGGAGGGGGAGGAAGGGTTGGGAGGAAATTGAAAGAGGAGTGTGGTGGAGCGTGCAAATGGGAGATGAGTCACGTAGCAGTAAGTTTGTGGGAGGACGGTGAGGGCTCGAGTCAAGAATACCCCCAGCCTACTACTAGAGGCGCCTGAAGGGTAAAAGGCGCCTCAAAACGAAAGGCACCTGAGCAGAAGGCTAAAGGGGAAGGGCATGGCTGACCTTGAGATAGTCTAGACATGCAGGTGGATGGTGAGGGCTTGTGTTGACAGTGCTTCATAAATTGAGTGAGGCATGCAACAATGAGAGTAGCAGTTTTGGACAAGACAACAAGGAGGCATCTCACCTTGAGATAGACTCGCGGGTGGATGGTCAGGGCCTCTGGCACGAGCATTGCACAGCAGGGATGGGCGTCGGAATGGGAGGAGGTAGGTAGAGAGGGCTGCATGTGAGGAGGGAAGAGGGCGAGTGCGGAGGAAGCAGAGAGACAGAGCGGTGAGATGGGAGAGGGCGAGGGAGAGGGTGGGGGGGGGAGGGAGGAGGAGGAGGAGGAGGAGGAGGAGGAGGAGGAGGAGGAGGAGGAGGAAGAGGAGGAGGAGGAGGAGGAGGGTAGTTGTGGAACGGCATGTGGTGCATGGTGAGGAGATTGGGACACTGTGTCACGTGCGCTGCTGCTGTCTACTACCCCTGCTGCTGCTGCTGCTGCTGCTGCTGCTGCTGCTGCTGCTGCTGCTGCTGCTGCTGCTGCTGCTGCTGCTGCTGCTGCTGCTGCTGCTGCTGCTGCTGCTGCTGCTGCTGTTGTGGCACCGACTGTTGTAGCTTCAGCTGCTGTGCTGCTCCCCTCTGCTGTCATGCCGATGCGGTGCTGTCCCTCCCATTCCACCATGGGACCTGCATACTGCGCTCACAGCAAGTGCCATGCCATGCCATGCCATACCATTTGATACCATGCACACGGCATCGTAGTGCCGCAAAGAGACCCAAAGAGTGGTACAGCGTAGTGCCCCAAAGAGACCCACCCACCTACTGTGAGCAGGTGAGCTCGGAATGATTCAAGATCCACCAGTTGTGATTCCATAAAGACTTATGCAATACTTTGGGTGGAGCGGACCCAGAAATGAGCGTTACGGGCAGTGGAAGTGCTGAGAGCGTTGAGAGCGTTGAGAGCGTTGAGAGCGTTGAGAGCGTTGAGAGCAGAGGGAACGAGGTACCTGGAGAAAGTCTTGTGAGTGGCTTGGCTTCTCTGGGAGTCTGAGCGCCCCCCTGTGCTGTGGACCAGGGGCGCATTGCCATGCCGCCACCATGCCCCACAGACATGCAATGCAACAGATAGAGAGACAGACAGACAGACAGATAGATCGATTGATTGACTGAGAGTCCGACAGATGGACAGACAGAGAGGGGGAGGGACAAAACGACAGACAGACAGGGACATGCACTTGGGAAGCGAGGGGGGAAGGCAGACAAAACATGCAGGCACTTTACTCTCTTGCCATAGAACAGACCAACCCCACATAATTCCCCTCATGGGGTTCCTTCCAGGTTTACCACGTGATAGAAGCTGGCGTTTTTGAGACGTGATACACAGGTTTTCCACCCTCTCTACACAGGTTTACCACGTGATAGAAGCTGGGTTTTGAGATCCAGGTTTCCCCTCATGGGTCTCAAAATCCAGGTTCACCCCATGGTCTTTCCCCCACGGGACTTCCCTCATTCGATTCCCCCCACCAGAAGCCCTACCTGCGCAAGATAAGGGAGCGCCTAGGCCCTTCCTCCCCCTGCTCCTCCACCTCGTCCGCTTCCCCCTCCCCCCACTCTCTACTCCCCTCCCCTCCCTCCCCCTCCCCCTCCCCCTCCCCCCTGCGCCTCCGCCTGAGCTCCCCCTCCGCCACTGCCAGCAGCTCCAAAGTGCACTGCCACCCCTCCTCACCCCTCCACAGCAGCCGCCCTGCGGGGTTGGGGCGGGGGAGGGCGTGAGAAGAGGGAATGTGCACTGAGAACAGGGGTGTATGGACGGAGTATGGGGAATGGCAGTAGGGCAGAGAGCCTGAGCTCCCCCTCCGCCACTGCCAGCAGCTCCAAAGTGCACTGCCACCCCTCCTCACCCCTCCACAGCAGCCGCCCTGGGGGGGTGCGGGGAAGAGGTGGGGTGCGGGACGGGCGTGAGGGAAGGGCGTGGGGAAAGGGGGTGGGAGAAGAATGTGGGGGGGACGCAGGGGTGTATGGAGGTATGGCGTTAGGGGGGACGAGCACGGGCAAAATTACCTTCATAGAATCCTGTTTCCTGGCAGATGATGAAAGCGATGGCATGGTATAGCACGAGTGGCAGTACCTTCACAGTACCCTGGAGCAGCATCAGTTGTGTGGCATGTCAAAGCAAAGCACAGCATAGCATAGCATAGCATAGCATGGCAAAGCACAGCACAGCATAGCATAGCATAGCATAGCATGGCAAAGCACAGCACAGCATAGCATAGCATAGCATAGCATAGCATAGCATGGCAAAGCACAGCACAGCATAGCATAGCATAGCACGGCATGGCATGGCACGGCCAAGCGACGTGCCTTTGGGAGAGAAGGGATGCAGCAGGCCCCCTGAGACGCCCGAAGCACCCGCACCAATGCCTGTAGCGTCCACGAGCGTCACCTGCACGGGCCTGCTGCTGCTCGTGTGCTGGTGGGCAGGCGTACAACATAAGACAGGAGTGTGCATGCAGATGCAGCAGAGCACTAGAACGAGCTAAGTCTGCTGATCTGGGTCGAATCTACTTTTCTGTGCATGCAGATGCAGCAGAGCACAACAAGTGGGTGGGCGCATTTAGGAGTGCGCATACAGAGCACATGGGGCGGGCGGGCGGGCCCATTTCTTAGAATTCTCGCATGGGCGTTTCATGGGTTGGGTTGGGTGGGCGCACATGGGTTGTTGAGTTGAGCCTGAAAACGGCATAGCACAGCCCAGCCTCTCAGATGCAAGCGGCCCCATGGTGGCTGCTTGCCACAGCTGAGGCCCTCCTACACAGCTGAGGCCCTCCTACACAGCTGAGGCCCTCCTACACATCATGCTATATGCATACGCAGGATGGCCAGGTATGTGGCAAGCAAGCCACATGCTACAGCTGCCTGTCACATGCTATATATACATAACACGCCATGCCACTATAGTATGCCATGCTTTCAAGGCGCCTGAAAAGTCGCTGCACATGCAATGTATACAGAACGACATGCCATGCCACCACAACTCACCTCCCACCCTCCCCTCCCCTCCCCTCCCCTCCCCTCACCTCACCTCCCCTCACCTCCCCTCCCCTCCCCTCCCCTCCCCTCCCCTCCCCTCCCCTCCCCTTTCCTCCCCTCCCCTCACCTCCCCTCCCCTCCCCTCCCCTCCCCTCCCCTCCCCTCCCCTCCCCTCCCCTCACCTCCCCTCCCCTCCCCTCCCCTCCCCTCCCCTCCCCTCCCCTCCCCTCCCCTCCCCTCACCTCCCCTCCCCTCACCTCCCCTCACCTCCCCTCCCCTCACCTCCCGTCCCCTCCCCTCATCTCACCCCCCCTCCCTCCCCCCACCTGCAGCAGGTGCCATGCTGTCGCCTTTTGAGGCGCCTCAAAACTCTCCCCTCCCCTCACCTCCCCTCATCTCACCCCCCCTCCCTCCCCCCACCTGCAGCAGGTGCCATGCTGTCGCCACTCCTGCAAAGCCTGCTCCCACCACTGCCACTCGCAGGGGCGCCGCTGCCTGCACGCCCAAACGGAGTGGTGCAGAGGGGTGGAGGGGGGTTATGGGGATGACGGAGGGTGCAGATGGTGCGGAAGAAGAGGGGGTAAGTGCACAGCAACACAAGGGAGACAAGACAAGACAAGAAACAGAAACTATTGTACAATGCGAGTGAGTGATGACTGTAATGCGAGAGCAATTACCATATCACGCGAGTACCGTACCGTTTGAGCTGTGTGTGCGTGAGAGCAAAGCACCCACCCACCCACCACCCACCCACCGAGGCGAAATCTTCTGAGAGTGTTCACAAGCGAAGGCTAGACGGAAGGGAAGCACTACTACCATACCATACCACCATGGAGAACGAGTGAGGAGACAAGAAGAGGAGCAGAGTGAGAAGCGGAGGAGAGGAGAAGCCAACGGTACCTGCGACGAGTTCTCAGCAACGGATGGCCTGCTCTCACAGCAGCCGCCTTGTGCGCTCCTGCAGCTGATCTTTCGTTGGTTGCCTGGGGGACTGGTGGTTGCTGCGGCTGTGAAGGAGTGGTGGTCGTCGCCACTAGTGAGGTTAGTGGAATTAGCAGAGACTTTCAAGACACCAGCTGCTCTACTGCTGCTGCTGGCCGTCTTGATAGTCTGTTTTGTAGGATATGCGGAAGGTGAATTCTGCCTTGTAGGCGCGCCATTCGCGGCGGCAGGTGCGGAATATTGTGGGAACGGAGACACCTGGTTTGGTGCTCGGATCGCGTTCAGGAATCTGGGGATGTGAGGTCTCGTGACCCGCATGGCCTTGTTAGAAACAGGTATGGATCCGTTGGATCCGTTAAGACTACTAGACCTGGTGTTAGGCGAGAAGCCAGTTTCGTTGAACAGTGAGTGGGCAACCATTCGCGAAGGCGTTTGTTGAGAGAAGATGTGCATTCGTTTTGTTTGCGAAGGAAGGGATCCCAGGTTTGCATTTCCACGTGTCGAAAAGTGAGTGGCGCTTGAGGGTGGGAGAAACCAGGAGCCGCGGGGAGTGAGTACGAGGTGAAACGTCGCGAGGATGCAGAGTGACAGTCAAGAGGGGACTGGAAGGGCGCGAGCGAGCGAACGCGACGGACGGGGTTGCCAGCATGGCGTGATATGAGCAGACGAGATGAGCGAATTCGGTAGTACGAAATCGATGCTGGTACAAGGTGTGCTTCAGATGGAGAGAAATGGCTGCGATGCTAACTTGACAAAACGGATTATGGCTGACGGCTATACTATCGTATTATTCCGCTACTTCCTTCGAATCAGCGAGAGAGTTCACAGTTCATCAGGGTGGGACCCGCCAATCATCTTCCGTGATCCAAACCGACGATCCAGTTACACACAAGCGCCCCTTTTGTTCCCCCCCTCAGGGCGGCACTCGCCCTCCACTCCAGCTCCATTTTGTTGACTGCTAGGCATCCCTGTGTTCTATTCTCTCCCACATCTCCCCTCTCACTCACTCTCACCCTCGCTTTCTCACTGCCACCCGCGACCTCGATCATATCCATGCAGCGCTTCGTCTAAATTTTGCCTTCCGCGCTACGAATCTTCGTCGCATCCGCGTTATACGCGAAATAATCGCGAGTAACGAGCGAATATTTCCGTGCTGGACCGGTTTCGAGTTCATGACCAGGCGGGTTTCTGAAGGTCGAACCGTGGATCACAGGGGCTTAGCGAGCTTAGGAGCGTAGTGTAGCCGTGTCGCACCATGCGCCACTCCCACCTCCCGTAGCCTAGCGTCCCACGCGCCACGAGTCGTCCCATGAGTGGTCGAGCTTATTTCGTGACGCTGTGGTTAACCCAACCGGCGACGGATCACAAAGATAAAAAAAGCCGTTCAAGGAGCTATGGTTGACGGACGTAGTGGCAGTGGTGGCGGTGGCGGTGGTGGCAGCAGCGCCTCTAGCGCCGCGGCTGGTGCAGCAATTACGACAGGAGGAGCTGGCGGATCGAGACACCGGACTATCAGCGACGACGAGAAGGGAGGCCGCATGCTGCATCCCCGCACGCAACTCGCTTTAGTGACAGGCGCTGCGGTATGGTCCTTCTGAACTCTCCTCCTTACAGTTCATAAAGGCCGTGCCTGATCGCCAAGTCCCGGCCTTCCTTCCTCACAGTCACACTCACCGTAAGGACGTCAGTTTCGTAATGCTGGTCGTCTGTGCAGAATCTATCTTGACTTACCACCACCTCTCAGATAGGAAAACCCTCTTAAACTCACCCCTCTTAACCTCACCCTCCTTAACCTCACCCGTTCCAGACCTACCCTCTTATACTCACCTCTATTAGTCCCACCCCTCGTAGACCCACCCTTCTTAGGCTCACCCTCTTAAACTCATTCCTGAGAGAATCAACCATAACGTCACCTGAGGCTCTACCTGTCATGCGTGTTCACCACCTGAGCTACCTTGCATTTATTGGATCCAGAAACGAGCGCATGCGTCCTCATCCTGTGCGAGGTGACTTTTGAGTCGACTCAAAAGTCGCATGCGTCCTCATCCTGTGCGAGCCTCGTCCGCCTGCGTGCTTTGTGCCGTCTTTGTTCGTCCTGTCTCTTCCGCTGCACTCATGCCACTCCCCCTGCCTCCTCCCCTGCCCTGCCTCCTTCCCTGCCCTGCCGTCCTCGCTCCCTCCATTCACACCTATTCTTCCCTCCACCCCCGCTCACCCGACCCTATACCAAACCGCGTGTGCAGATTGCGGCTGCGGTGCTGCTGCTGCGAGGACCACGGCCGTCTCTCAACGAGCGACTCAAGCAAGCAGCAGTAGGTCTCCCCATTTGCCAATTGAGGTGTCTGTTGAGTCGACACAAAAGCCACAAGCAGCAGTAGGTCTCCCAAGCCTGAAATGTGGCGACTCCTCACTACTTACCTTATTACTGCTCTCCTTTCCCATACTCTCCTTCCCTGACCACAGTCCATCCATCGCTCCCTATCTATTCATCTTCCCTGTTCTTCCTTTCTCCTTCCACTCGTAGTCTTTCTTCCCTAACCCCTCCCTACCCCTCTCTTTCTTTTTCCCTCTCCTTCCCTCTCCCCCACCACACATCTCTCTCCCTCCCCCTCTCCCTTCCCCGCTCCCTCCCCATCCCCCTCCCCTCGCCGCACCCTCGACCGCCCAACCGAAGGGCGTGCAAGCACAGGCCAGGCAAGCTCAGAGCCGGTTGCAGCACCACGCAGCACAGCAGCAGGCAACAGGGGGCCACGCAGCAGGGGGTTATCAGCAGCAGCAGCATGTGGGAGGGGAGAATGAGGAGCAACAGGCTGTGCACAGCCATAGCGGTTCCAGCAGAAGCGGCAGCAGCAGCAGCAGCAGGGCAGGTGTTAAGGGTGGCGCCAGTGCTTCAGCCGAAGCAGCAGGGGGTGCCGGAGCGAGGAGCGGAGGGGGTGCTGATCAAAGGAACTCAGAGCACGGGAGAGCAGAAGCAGGAAGGGGAGGGGTGGGACAGGGCGAGAGAGAAGGGGCTGGGGCGGGTGTGGGAGGAGAGGGTAACGGTGGGGTTGACACGAGATATGGCTCAGCTGGGTTGAATGGAAGGGGAGGGGGGGGCGGAGCAACAGGAGATGGTGAGGCTGGGGCGAAGGGTCAAGCTGAGCAGGAAAAGGACCGGTTGCGAGAGGAGGTGAGCAAGGTGAAATGATTTGGAAGTGACTGTGCTTGAAGTGGTGTGTGTGTGTGCCCAATGTGCTCTTGCGAATTCTCAAAAGCACATTGTGCTAATAATTTCTAGAGGTGAGTTGAGGAGATGAGAGTGAGTCTAGGAGGTTATATTAGGAGGTGACTTTAAGAGGTCATTTCAGAGGGTAAACTAAGGAGATGGAAATTACTCCGCCGTCCCTTCCTCCCGTCTCCTGTCTTCCCCTCTCCCCTCCCCCTCCCCAGGCAAGGCAGAGAGCAGCAGACGAGGAGTTGAGGCGGCAGCAGGACAAGTTCAGGAGGGCGTTTCACCGCTACCAGCACGCCAGCCGCACCCAGCACACTTTCAACTGGTACTGGGACGGCCGGTCCTTCGGCCCCTCGCCTCTCCTCTCCTCCCCTCTCCTCCTCCATCCTCTCTCCCTCTCTCCCCCCCCTCTTCTCCCCTCCACCCTCCTCCCTCCCCTCTCCCTTCCCTCCTCCTTCCCGTCCTCCCCTCCTTCCCCTCCTCCCCTCCCCACCCCCTCCCCGTCCCCAGGCGAGGCAAAGAGCAGCAGACGAGGAGTTGAGGCGGCAGCAGGACCGGTTCAATCGGGCGTTTCACCGCTACCAGCACGCCAGCCGCACCCAGCACACCTTCAACTGGTACTGGGACGGCCGGTCCTTTGGCCACGGCTGGGACGAACGTGAGGAGCAGGCTCGGGAGGACGAGCGGCGGAGGGGAGGGGGAGGGGGAGGGGGTGGGGGAGGGGGGAGGGGTGGGAGGCTGTGGGAGGAGATGGAGATGGTTACGGATCACTGGCATGCTCTGGGACTTGACAGGTGCGTGTGCCTGCATGCACTCTTGCTACCCGTGGCCCCATACCCCATGATTCCATACCGACACAACCCCATGGTCTCATGCTCCTATGTGTATGTGTGCATGTGTACGTGTTTGTGCATCTGAATCTATCTATCTCTCTATGTGCATGTGTCTGTGCCTGTCATTGCATCTGCATTCCGTACGTGCCCCTGCTGCATGTAATTGTGAATCCCTGCAGCTCTCGAGGTCACAGCATTCCAAAAGCAGAGATCAAGGTGGGTGGGGCTTCATTCCCTCGGCCTCTCATTTCCTGCATCCCATTCCAACAAGTTGACGTCCACCACATTCCATCGCACATCACACTCACTCGCTCTTTTTCTGTGTTTATGTGTGCGCTTTCGCCTTCTGCGTTTGACCGGTTTATGTTGAACTCTTCCTTCCTTTTGTGATCCTTCCAACGATACTCGCTCTTTCCATCACTCTTTCTCTCGATGTTCTAACCCGTGATTGCCTTGCTCCTCCTGGCCCCAGTCTCTACTTCTCAAACTACCCCTCTCTGCTGGCTCACTTCAACTCATTCGCTCGATCGCTCGCCCCCCCACTCAATCACTCACTCACTCACTCACTCACTCACTCACTCGCTTACTAACCCTAACCCATGCACACCCCATTCAACCAGGCTGCATTCCGTGCCAAGGCCATGGAGCATCATCCTGACAGGAACCAAGACAATCAAGGTATGGCGTGCCTCATGTCACCTTACCTCACCTCACCTCACCTCACCTCACCTCATCTCACCTCACCTCACCTCACCTCACCTCACCTCACCTCACCTCACCTCACCTCACCTCACCTCACCTCACCTCACCTCACCTCAATTCCTCACTCATTCCCTCTTCACAAGGTAGCCACCACATTTTCTTGTCTCTCTTTTTCTCCATTATGCCACACTGGCTGGTTCCCCCCCTCCTCTCTACCCCCACCTGTCTCTGCTCATTCTCCTCTCTGCTCTGTACCCTTTCGGCTCTCAACTCCCTCTCTTTTGGTCGTGATTCTCCCTTTCCAGAGCGGGCAGCAGTGAATTTACGCCGTGTCCTCACGGCCTACGAGTTCCTCTCGTCTCGGGGCAAGCAGGCAGCACGCCGCTAGTCAGGGGCACTGCTGAATCTCTCGGGTAGCTAGCTAGTGGGTAGTTAGGTGGTGCCCCCTCCCCTGCCCCGGGATGTTGCAGTGGAAGCACTAGTGAGAAGCCGGAAACATCACTGGTACCGTATAGGGATGACATGACATGCCCACAACACTGGTCCTGCTACATACCAGGTTTCCCCGCCGTATGCTGGGAAATTTATTACGATATGTGAAAGCGGACAGCAGGGCAGTGAGTTTTGATTGAGTAGGTGCACTTCCAAGGAAACATCAGCAGTTTCAGCCTGCTTCTAGTATGAAAGCAAGTGCTTACAGAACGTACTGCTTTGTCGTGCCTGCACTATAGGTACATATGCACATCACACCAAGGCAACACACACACTACTACTGTAAACTTCACCTAGGCCACAACACTGGACTCGCCCAGTCACGACTCACCACTGGAGACAGACCGCATTGGACCACACTGGGTCGCACAGGACAGCACTAGATCGAGCTGGCCCAGGCTCTGCCAAGAGCGAGGGCTTGTGAGTAGCGAGTAGCTCCCAAATCCCTAACAGCATGGTCCGCACGGTGAGGACTAAATGGTAACACCTACCGGTATGCTTAAGGCCTGCCTAAGCACCACGGCAAGCAGTGCAACGATGGGAAACCACTGGCAAAGCAGCACCGCGGCAAAAGCGAGACGCGAGGAGTCACGACCAGAGCCGGCTGAATTTGGAGGAGCCTCCAAGGAGTCAGGACCAGAACCAGCCAAGACTGAAGCGCAGGAGAAGCATGGCTGCATCGTGTGTGAGTGGCAGGAGGAATAAAAGAGCCTGGCGGGCAGAGGTACACACGGGTGGATGATGGAGGGTTAGAGAGGGGGGAAGGAGGGTGTGATGGGAACTAGTACTCGTGTGCAGAAGTGACGGTTGAAACAAAAATGAGGGTGTGAGAAATCTGTAGTGAGTGGCATGACAAGATAGAAAGAGTGAGGGGAAGGGACGCATCCATGGCCAGGCTGAAAGGAGAGGGTCGAGGTTGGTTGTGGAAGAGGAGGTGAGAAACAGAGGGAATCGTTGAGAGCAAGCGAATAGGGAAGGGAAGGGGGGAGAGGAAGAAGAGTGGGAGATGGCAAGAGTGTGGCGGGGGGGAGAGTGGAAGGGTGCGTGTGGGCAACAGTCAGGAAGGAGTAGCCAGGGCTAGGTAGGGGTAGGGTCGGGGGGCTGTGAGGGAGGGAGAGAAAGAGTAAGTAGACAAGGATGGAGAGTGAGAGAGAACAAATGGAAAGAGTTCGGCAGCAAAGAAACAAACACACCTGTCGGCCCAGTGCCTTAACAGAATCGTCAGGCAGACGCCGAGAAGCATGCAGCTGTGCTGCTGATGCACCACTGGTCCGTTCCCAAGGCAATCCTGTCCGCGCATCAGTGTATGAAGGCCGCAGTATCAGAGCATGAGATACTTTATGCTGCTGGTGAGACGATGCTGATGGGGATGAGGATGGGGAGGAGAGCAGGGCGCGGGTGAGCAGCATGTGCAGCCATGACCAGTTCTCATGCGCTCGAACAAACCACGTGAGGAAACTGTTTGCTCCACTCGTGCGACCGACACTTTCACCAACACCAGCACCAGCAGCAGCAGAAGCAGCAACAGCCCTACAAGCAGCAGCAGCACTACAACTGCCATTAGAAGCAGCAGCCGCGGAAGCAGAAGGGCCGCGGGCATTAAGAGAGAGAGCAGCACCGGCCATCCCTCTTTCTCTATCCAGCCTGCTGCTACGAGCCCTCCACATCTCCACCCACTCCCTCCCCATCCCTGCTCCTCCTCCCACTCCACCCCCACCCATCCCTCCTCCCCACACACCTGACCAAACCCTGCCCCACCGCACTGGACCGCGTGCGCGTCTGTGAGCCAGGGCCTGCCAGCGCTGGCGCTGGAGAAGCAGCAAGAAACGGGCGTGCAGGAGGGTAGCTTGGTGGGGGGAGGAGGAGCGGGCCAGGAGGCGAGAGAGGGCTGCTTGGCTCGCTGCAGGGCAGGATGTGTGGGAGGAGACGCGGGAGGAGCGGGGGAAGATCAGAGAGGAGCGGAGGGAGGAGAGGGGGGCGAGGAATATTTGTAGGAAAGTATATGCTATGCTGCTGGTGCTGAGGCGGGTGGGACGGGTGCTGACAGCTCTGGTAAATGCAGCCGGCACAGCGGCAGGAGGAAGAGTTGCGAAGTTACGGACGAGGAAACGGGTGAGGATTCGAAGGAGAACGGCAGCAGACATGCCACCGAGAAAGCAGAGCACACCGAGGCCAATGTGCCGCTTGTCAAGGCAGCATCCGCCATGCTGGGATGGTTGGGTGGTGCCATGTGTGCAGGTGCAGGTGCAGGTGTTTAAATTGCAGGTGCCAGTGCTGGTGCCGGTGCCGGTGCCGGTGCAGGTGCAGGTGTGGTGAGGCTGTGAATGTGCATGTTTGCAGTGAGAGGTCTGGCGCACTGGAGACGGTTGTAACACTTGAGTGCACTTGGTAACAGCAGCAGCAGCACTAGCACAACCACTGCCAATGACAGCAGGAGCAGATACAGTAGCTGCAGGAGCAGCAGCAGCAGCAGCAGGGGGAGGAGGAGGAGGAGGAGGAGGAGGCGCAGCTTGTTCACTCCTCGCAGCACCATCGCAGCCCCTACTTGCACAAGCACTGACACCAGAAACAACGGCAGCAGGCCCTACAACGGAAGCAGCAGCACAGTATTGCCTTTCCTCACAGATGCAGCAGCAGCTGCTGACAGCAGACCAGCAGTGCTCAGAATCCCTTTCTGGTCTTGCAACCAGAATGAGATCAGTTGCTGCTGCCACTGCCGCCACTGCAGCACACACAGCTCTCTGCTGGTCATGAACAATGCTACTGCTGCTGGTAGGCTTCGTCCCCTCCTGCTGCTCTTCCTGCTGCTTCTCCCGCTGCTTCTCTTGCTGCTTCTCCTGCTGCTTCTCCTGCTGCTTCTCCTGCTGCTTCTCCTGCTGCTTCTCCTGCTGCACCTTCTGTGGCAGAGGCACGGCACACAAACCCAATTCCTCCACGCACACAGGTTCGTATGCCCACCCTGCATCTGCCTCGCACCCTGCCTCACACCCCGCCTCACACCCTGCCTCGCACCCTGCCTCGCAACCTTCCTGTCCTGTGCAGTCCTGGCAACATGGTTGATCGCTTCCGTAGTCTCTACCACGATCCAGTTCACAACTACCTTCAGTGCCATACGGTGTGAACCTCAGCTGCCCCTCTCCCTGTTTCTCTCCCAGTTCCTGCCCCTGCCTCTGTGACAAACCTAATAGCTTCTCCTGCTGTAGTGATTGCAGCTGCTGCAGACTAAACTGAGGCAGCTGCTGCTCCTGTTTCTGCTCCTGTTCCCGTTCCCGTTCTTTCCCTTGCACTTCTTCCTGTTGCTGATGCTGTCGCCTCTGTTCCTCCTGCTGTCGCTGCACGTGCAGCAGCAGCAGGTCAACGGCAGCATCAAGGAGAGCCGCATGCGAGGGGTAGTTCTGCCAAGACGGACTGCTGGACGCCCACACACAGCAGCAGCAGCAGCAGCAGCAGCAGCAGCAGCAGCAGCAGCAGCAGCAGCAGCAGCAGATGGCACAGAGATAGGAGGAGGAACATGGGAGGGAAAGAAAGGTGAATAAAACAAGGGCCATTCAAATGCTAGACCACGATTCATCCTGCGCGATAGGGCTAGTGAGCAGCAGATGATCATCACTCAATGCAACCGAGAACGAAAAACAGGAAGGCGAGACAGAAGAAGCAGCACTGTGGGGCACAAAGGACAACAGAGAGGCACGAGCAAAGCAGAGCTGAGGGGCACGTACGAGGCAGATGAGTGAGGCAGTGGCATGCACTCCCTGCTGCTTCTCCCGCTGCTGCTTCTGCCAGAGCCTTCGTTACTGCTGCTGCTGCTGCTGCTCCTGCAACTGCTACCACTCGCTGCACTGCTTGCCCCGCCGCTCCCTTCGTTATTCCCGTCCAAAAAAAGGCTATCCATTTGTCTCTTGGCCTTTTCCCCGTCGCCACTGCCACTCTCTCCACCAACAACATGTGGGTATGGCCGCAGTGTGTAGTGGTCACGGTCACTGCGACCATATCTGCTTAGGTTCTGGTTATCGTTATGCTTATCGTTATGTTTACGGTTATGGCTATGGTGGTGGTGAAGCATCTGATGCTCATGGTGAGGGTGCATGTGAGGGTGAGGTTGATGGGTGTAGCAGGAAGGAAAGGGATGTTGAGGGTAGTGGAAGTGCGTGCACGAGGAGTGTGGGAAGGGTGAGAGAGAAGAGCGTGGGGAGTCGGTTGTCTGGGGATCGTACGAGCAGGTTAAGAGCGAAGGGTCTGTGCGTGATGCTAAGGTTTCTGCTGCCGTTACTGCTGCTGCTGCTGACGATGATGATAGTGATGATGATGGTGACGCGTGCGTGCCGCTCTCCTCCGCCGCATCATTATGTAACGAGGAGCACAATGAAGCGGACGAGAGTGAGAGGGAGGCGGAGTGAAGTGCCTGTTGCGGAAGCGGGTCGAGCCGATGTGGTGGACACCAGGAAGAGGAGGAGGAGCTCTCGAAATCCACGAGATTCACGAGATTCGCGAAATTCGCGAGGTTCGCGAGATGCACATCACCGGCCATGTGTTGAGATTCCGCACCATCAACACCACATGCCACAGCCGGCGTGCCTACGTCCTCATCAGCACATACGCGCCCAGCATAATAGTCACCAGCATTCCCATCACAGCTCGATCCCCCTCCCCTTGAACACCTCGTTTCTCCCCCTTCCGCTTCCGCCTCCACCTCCGCCCCCGCCTCTTGCGACTCCTCCCCGCATTCCCGCCGTTCCGCCATCCACGCCCCCACGTTCTCCGCGCGCCTGCGCTTTCCTACAACCGCGTTTCCCCAGCTGTCACCCGTTATGATCATCGCATCCCACGCGCGCACCGCTGCCGCCGTGGCACTCGCTGACGTGTCTACGGCATTCGCTGCCGTGTCCATGGGCCTCCCTGACGTGTCCACTACCGGAAAGTCCGCCGCCCCTTGCGGCCTCATTATTGCCCCGACGCGGCTGAGCAATGCTAGTAGTAATCTTGTGATCCGCTTTCTCACGGTTCCGGTATGGCGCTGTCTAGTGCGACTCGTGGCAGCGCGCGCGATCGTCTAATGAAGCGCATTCTCCGCGTTCCCGCGGCGGCGATACCGTCCCTTCCCTGCGCACCGCAGCCTGCCTCGTGATACAGATCGCGAGCTATAGAGGGATAACGCGCACAGCTACTATCATTCAGCCGCGGATGCTTCGTCGCAGCCTTGGAGGGAAAAAAAAAAAAAAAAAAAAAAAAAAAAAAAAAAAAAAAGACACGCCCCACACAGATCGGCTCAGTGACGCCCAAAGGCGGTGCCTTAGCTCAGCACGGTGGTGTGGTGAAGCACTAGAGCGTCGGGCGAGAGCAGTAGGAGGGAGGGCACAGGCGCATTGTGAGTGCTAGCAGCACAGTAGTGACCTGGTGACATATTCTTGGCACCACAACCACAACTCGCTCTGGCCTTGCACGGGAAGAATGCCTGTGGCTTGTGGCTCTTGAGGGAATGCTGTAAGCTAGTGGGGTGGGATGGGATCAGGCCTGTCGATTGACGGGCATATGCCCTTAATGCCCTGAAATTCCGGGCTACTTTTGCTCCAGCTCGACTGCATAAAGTGTTAGGATCGCCCTGCACCCGTGCCACTAAGTGCTTCGTTCGACCCTTCCCCGGATGCGTTAAGTGCTCCAACCAGGCCTTTCCCACCCACAAAGTTTTGATTTCCGGTTCTAGGACCCCCCCTCCCAAGAAATTCTGCCTGACCCCCCCACTCCCCCCCCCCCTTTCTCCTTAGGTTGCACGAGAGCGCGCCAAGGGGATTTTTCCCTTAGCATTTCCTAGCCAATCCCGTGTTTGTGATATCTCTAAGTCAGCTTTGGAGCAGCCGAACTTTCCCTTAGCTAAGATAGTGTAAGTGCAAGCCCGGATATCAAGTTTTCACTTTGGCCTGCGCCCGTGACCGCCAAAACACTCAGCTACGGCCAAAACAGGGTCAGATAGGGAGGAGCTGGGGACTCCAAGTATGGGCCCCAGGAACTTCGACAGGCCTGGATGGGATCATCGTCAGGAGATAGAGCGACAAGGGAGGTGGTGGGGAAAGTCGTGGGGGGGCAAGGGTGTGGGGGGAGGGGGGAGGGGGGAGGGGGGTTGAAAGAGCGCGAGTTTGGGAAGTCCAGTCTAGTGACATGGCGAGGGGAAAAGGCAGCGAAGGTCACCTGGCGCGCTGGAATGGAACAAATCCACAGGGCATTATGCCAGGGAGTCAGGACATTCTTGGAATCGATGATCTTCGCTATTGGAGCCTTGTACAAGTGGTGGTTCAAAGAGAGTGACATTTGTTAAACCGCTAATGTGAGATACATTGTATAGTTCAATGCATACAGTCAATTCCAGACTTTGAAACAGTGCTGGTTGAGGCACAAGATATGTTTATATGCTTCATAAATATATCACTATTCTTCTTGGGTTGATGCTTCCGCATTTGTCCATTTTGTTCACTATGTTCACTGTATGTGCTTCCCAACCTGACCAAGAAAAGTGCACCTGAACGTAGAAGATGTCTAAAACGAAGCACAACCCGTCAGGTCCTCAACGGCACTTTCCCTTCAAGCAATGCCGATCTCCGCCATTATCGCCTTTCTAGCCATTTACGTCCCTGATGCACGCACATCACATATCCTACCACATACAAGCAGCGTTTTTGCAGCCGTTGCACGGCATTCTCAGTCCGACTGTCCTCTATCAAGCCCTAATTTATTTTCTGCCTTCCAGTGCAGCGTAGTTTTTTTCTTACTACTAATTCTCTTGAAGCTTGCTCCAAGTAAGCGCCGCCAGGTTAATTTATTTCATGGGAAACGGTCAGTCGCATGACGACTCCGACTCGGGAACCGAGGATGAGCTTAGCGGTTCCGAAGAGGAGGACGAAGAATTGGAGGACGAGGAGGACGGAAAGGCGTCACCGAACAACGAGCCTGACGGAAAGGCGTCACCGGAAAAGTCGGGGACGACCTCCTCCTCTCGCGAAAACGCAGCCGCATTACTGCCGGGAAAGCCGGCCGATGCAGCAGAGAGTGGGAAGGACGCGAGGGAAGGAGGAGCAGGAGGAGGAGAAGTAGCGGAGACATTTGGAAATGGAGGAGGGAGAGCGACAGCGAGAGGAAGGCACGGCGGAGAGGTAAGAGACGCTGGAAGCACGTTCGGCGCAGTGGGTGGGTCAGGGGGAGCCGCCGATACGGTCGAGAATACCGAGAGCAGCGGGAACGCCGGAGACTGGGATCTGGCGTGGGATGACGAGACGGACGAGGAGAAGGAGAAGGCGGAGGGGAAGGCGGAGCGGAAGGCGGAGCGGAAGGCGGAGGCGAAGGCGGAGGAGGGGAAGACCGCGCAGACGGCGAAGGACGGCGAAAGGGAAAAGGAGAACAACGCAGGTGCGACTGGCAGTGAAGCAACCGTAGCTGCTGCCACAGCAACAGCAGTGCATCCTTCTCTTCTATCCGCAACAGCTGCTGCTGTGGCTGCTGCCGCTGGCTCTGCTGATCCTGCTGCCGCTGCTGCTGCTGCTGCTGATCCTGCTGCTGCTTCGACTACCACTCCTCCCGCTCCACTTGTTCCGGTCGCTGCTGCTGCTGCTGCTGCTGCTGCTACTGCTTCTTCTTCTCCTTCTCCTACCGCTGCCGCTGTCAAGTCCGCGGAGGGGAGAGGCGGAATGGCGCGGGCGTGGGACGAGTTCGCGGAGGGCAAGGGCGCGTCGTCGTTCATGGACGCCTCGCGCCCGCTCTCCTCGCACCCCTTCATGCACGGCCCTGCCATGCCCCGCGCAGACATCTGCACCGAGTTCTACATCATCCGGTACCCCTTGAGAGCCCTGCCTGTTTGTCTGTCTCTCTAGCTGTCTGTCTGTCTCCCTGCATGCGTCCCTGCCTGCCTGCCATGCCCCGCGCAGACATCTGCACCGAGTTCTACATCATCCGGTACCCCTTGAGAGCTCTGCCTGTTTGTCTGTCTGTCTAGCTGTCTGTCTGTCTCCCTGCATGCGTCCCTGCCTCCCTGCTATGCCCCGCGCCGACATCTGCACCGAGTTCTACATCATCCGGTACTGTGCTGTGCGCCCCGCATGTCTCTCTGCTTCTCTATCTGTCTGTCTGTCTGTCTAGCTGCCCGTCTCCCTGCTTGCCTGCCTGCCTGCCATGCCCCGCGCAGACATCTGCACCGAGTTCTACATCATCCGGTACCCCCTCTCAGCCCCGCATGTCTCACCGTCTGTCCAGCTGTCTCTCTCCCTGCCTGCCTGCCTGTATCCCTCCCTGCCTCTCTGCCTCCCGACCATGCCCCGCGCCGGCATCTGCACTGAATTCTTCATCATCCGGTACTGTGCTCGCCGCCTGTCTGTCTGTCTGCTTGTCTGCCGATCTCGAGAAAAAAAGGAAAACACATATAGATTAATTGCTGATTTTCTGGGCCGGGTTGTCTGTCTGTTTGCCTAGCTGCCTGTCTCTCTGCCTGCCTGCCTGCCTGCCTGCCTTCCTGCCTGCCTGCCTGCCGCCCGCCATCCCCCACAATCACAGGGAGGCAGCCTGCCAAGTGTCGACGCTCATAGGGGGCCAATCGTCGCATGCAGATTTCACCTACTGCTGTGGCGCCTGAACTATGGCCTCCCCGCTTATCCCCCTCCTCCACCTCCCCCACCTCCCCAATCTACTCATTGCCCCGTCTTTTCCAGTCAAAGGGAGGCGGCTCACAATGTGTCGACGTTCGTGGGGGGGCGGTCGCCGCAGGCAGCACTTACCTAGTGCCGAGGTGACTTCAAAACAGAACCCCCACCTCCGCGACCTCCCCATCGCCCTCCATCGCCCCATCCCTTCCAGTCACGGAGAGGCGGCGCACAACGTGTCGACGCTCATAGGGGGGCGGTCGCCGCAGGCAGCACTCACCCCTCTGGGCGAGCAGCAGGCGGTGCTGCTGGGGCGGTACCTGAGGGACTACGTGGGGGTGCGCTTCCACGCCATCTTCTCCTCGCCCATCGAGCGCTCCAAGCGCACTGCCATCCTCGCCTGCCAGGTGCGTGCTGTTTGTTTGCAATGTTGTGCCGTGATTATTTAGTCCACTGGAAAGTCAACTGAGGGACTACGTGGGGGTGCGCTTCCACGCCATCTTCTCCTCGCCCATTGAGCGCTTGTAACAAAACGCACTGCCATCCTCGCCTGCCAGCCAGGTCAGCAGCTGGACTGGGCGTGTTGAATTGAACTGGTTGTGTTGAACTCAATCTGATAACCGAAAGGCAATCAGTCTTGGGAGGGGATTCTGATCATCAGTCTTAGAATTGCAATTTCAAAATCCTTGGTTGGGCGTAACGGCTCTATGCTCGCCTCTCCCCGCCTGCCCGCTGCCCCCATCCTCTCACTCACCTGCCATTCCTTCTCAACCCTTCACATTCGTGTACAACCCCTCCAACTATGCCCATCAAATCGAACGTATTCCTCCCTCACGCCTTCAAAAAAACGCACACCACCACCCCACCCTCCTCCCCAGCAATCTCTTCACTCCATGTTCCTTTCACCCCTGCAACCCCACCCGCCCCATTCCCTCCCTTCCCCCCCTCCCTCCCTCCCCGCCCCACTCTGTCCCCCCCCTTTCCCCTCCCTTCTTCTCCCCCATCCCTCCCCACTCCCTTCCCGCTCCCTCCCCCGTCCTGTGGCACCACAGGAGATGGGGGTGGCGGAGGCAGTGATCCGGTACGCGGACGAGCTGCAGGAGCTCAGCCAGGGGCAGTGGGAGCGGCAGCCGCGCGCACGCATCTACCAGCGCGGTGTGCTGGAGCAGATGGTGGCGGCTCAGCCCGACTTCAGAGCGCCCGGAGGGGAGAGCCAGCGACAGGCACGCATGGGCTGGGGTGGAGGGAAGGAAGGGGGGGGGGGATGGCTGGTGGGATGGGAACGGCTTTTGGGATGCTCCAGGGAGCATCTACCGGTGTGGCGTGTTGGAGCTTAGTTTTGAGACGTCTCAAAACTACCACTGGCGTGCTGGAGCAGATGGTGGGGACGAGGAGCTAGGTGTAGGCACGCATGGGCTGGGAGGGAGGGGGGAAAAGGGGAAGGGAGGGAAAGGCAGGGGAAGTGGTGGGGAGGGAACATCATAGTTTGGAGGGGTGGGGAGTACCATGGACGGCTATGGAGGGGTTGCGGGTAATAGGAAGGGGTAAGGTAGGGTGGGGAAGGGATGAGATGATGATGGGCACAACGTTAGAGCTTTCCCTCTTGTGGGGCTTTGCTGCTGCTGTGGTGGGATGGGATGGGACGATGTGGTGTCTGGGTTTCAAGCACGGACACAGTGTGATGTTGATGTGGGTGTGGGATGTGGATATGGGTGTTAGTGTGTGGGGGGACAAGGTCGCAAGAGTTAAGCGAAACCTGGATGTGGTCAGTTCACATAATGAATTGGGGTGCGGTTCCATTTCTCACGCTTCTTTGTGCATACCTCGAAAATGCCGCCCTGCCTTGTAGATCCCGTGTAGTTTGATTTTCCTACTCTGACACCCTTTTATCGTTCTATTACCTTATGGTTTTCCTTCCCACACCTCTTTTTTTCCCTCCATGCCCCCTTCCCCCTTCCTCTTCCCATTTCCTGTTCCACCCTCCCTCCCTGCCTCCCTCCCTCCCTTCCCCCCTTCCTCGATCTGTCAGGTTGAGTTCCGCATGGTTGAGTTTGTGAGCAACATCCTTTTTGTTCGACAGCATCTGGAAGCGCTTGCTTCCACTCCATCTGCACCGCCTTCCACCACACACCACCCTTCATCGGCCCCACGATCAAATCTGTCCACTACGCCTGCTAATGGTAACAGCAGCACTCCAGCATCTGCTAACAGCAGCAGCAGCAGCAGCAGCAATCTTCCCAGCAGCACTATCAGTACAGTTAATGCACAAGGAAGTGGGGCAGCAGGTGATGATGCTTTCCGTGTGGCGGTTTTCTCACACGGCACTGCAATACGGTGCCTTGTGCGTGGCGTTTTGGGTTCGGACCCTCACCTCACCCACAATATTGGCATTGACAACACTTCAATTTCTATTCTCCGTCACCACGCTCGGAAAGGGTGGCATCTGGTCAAGATGAATGACACCACACACCTCATTCTTGCCCGTGGTCCCCTAAGTCGACAAGATGCGTCCTCCTGATACACCTGTAATTGTGAACTATGTTCTCACTCTTATGATTAACATCAGAGGTTGCAGTATGAGACTGATTAAATGGCAATTTAGAGCTGTTGGATGGTTACTGGTAGCAGCAAACAGCAACTTCATCAGAATCTAGATTACTGCATATGTTTTAGAGCCAAGCAGACTACTAGTAAGAATCGCATGAAATCCAATGGACACCAAGAGCCAGTATGAATAAATCAACATGGTAGATATTATTCCCGTATATCCAGACAAAAACAGCACATCGACACTACAAGAAATTTACTATACCACGTCCAGCGAACAATCTCTGTCACATATTAATATTTGTACAGTTCTCTCAACAAGAGCCTTCATTTACAAGGCCTAGCTCGAAGCTTCACGAGGGATCTCACACCCCAAGATGGATTGCTTGTTCCTCTCGTACGTAAGCAAGAGCTAGGCGAGCCTCGTGAGGAGGCTGCAGTGGTTCTCCGCTACCTTAAGCGGAGAGAAGAAGCCCTCGATTCGAGCTTTCGGTGCGACCGTAACACTCACTTTACAGGTTTCCAATCGAGGAAAATCCAAGGCCGGCATTTGGCTGGAAAACGCAGAAGACCGCCTAAAGTTGTTATCGTTGACAATCGGGTTAGTGGAACGGCTAGGCGGAGACATGACCGGAAAAACTCCTGACAACGAATCCTGAAAGAACGAGCACGAAACTTAATTAGAATTTGCTAGACAACAGACGACACCAAGATGTTCGAACGCTTCGAAACAAAAAAAAACAATCAATCGGATCCTCACTCACCCCTTTACGTAGAATTTCCAAAAGCTCTCTTCCAACGTCAGGATCCGCTTTTAAAGGCCCACAACTGAAAGAACAAGCCGGCGATGAATAACGTGAGCCAGGCCGACGTAAAGCATCACGAGCTCGATTCAACGAATGAAAACGAAAACGGACCTGCGGGTCTTTCGTGTCCTTGCGTCCGATGCGTTGAAGACAGGAGCTCGGACATGCCTAGGGAATGCATATGTAGAGTTGGAAAACTGTGGAGATATAGCGGCAACTGCTCTCGGTTTCCTCCGTTCCAAGGAGTCGGCCTTTACGTCTGGCATATTCACCAGAACAGGAGCTGTGCTGCACATGATTTCGGCCTTCACGAAGGGGATGCAAGTTCAGAAGGGGATGCAGGCCGTGAAGTACTCCTGCTGCTGCGCCCCTTGGCTGGAAGGCTTCAAGGGGTTGTCATTGTTGGACGAAAATGGAAATGGCAACAAACCCTCGTTTTTCTGAGAAGGCAGTCCAATACTTGAACCTGATGCAGCTCTGCATTCCATTCCCTCCCCCAACGGCTCAAAGAAGAGTGGGTGGGACAGGACAGCGATGCTGGACTGGCTGGAGGGGAGGCTCCCTCCCTCGCCCAGAAAATTGTGGAGGAGCGACGAAGGGTTGGATGGATGGAGGAGGGGCAGCTGCGCTGCCGCTACCGTGTCGCCACGTCGGATCACGTAGCAGCCACGGCTGCCCACGCGGAAACAAAACTTTGTACGGGGATCTGGGCACGTGAAGGCGAACGTTATGCCCTTAAAATAGCTAGGTACACCGCGGAAAAGAAATTGGCGGTGAGTACAGAGAATTATTGCAAGTATGTTTTCGACAACATTGCGAAACGGTTCATTTTCAGGGTGCACTCAGTGGGAGAAAACTTTCGGGATAATTGTGAAGAAGCCTTCTGAAATTTTTAGAAGTAACGACTAGCTCCACTACATTATGGACGCCAAACTCTCCGCCGCAAATATGAGCAAGTGGCGAGGGATCAATGGTTTTCTTCCTTCCCATTCCAGTCGCCTCGACTCGTGATTACCCACACACACTTCAGCCTTTCCCGCTGACACAATCCACCTCACCAAGAACTTGGCTTCGCGAATTCTCGTCGACGGCACAACTACGAAGGAGCGAAGGCGTAAAGTAACGACTCCGCAATAAGAAACACGCATTACAGTAATGCATACAGACAAGATAAACGTGTAACTAAGCTCATGCTTATGTTTCTCTTCCATCACCATTCTTCCAATACAATTTTATCTTGGCGTGTGCGCTCTCAATGCAGTTGCCACGTGCAGAAGGATTGCTTTCCCTGGTGATACTTATGATCCCCATCTAATATGGGTCAACAAGCGCCCAGCCGATGGGGTGGGTCCAAGCGGGGGACTCAGTAAATTGTTTAGGGTGAAGGGTATCACCAAGTCGTTATCGCCGGCAACTGAAGGTAAGTTGAAGTTCAAAACAAAAACTCATCTTTGTTGTTTGAATTTCCAATCAAGCTCCCCTCGTACTATAGCTCAAATTATCTTACGTGCGATGGCAATCGAGGCAGCAAAACACAGCATGAGTTACCTGAGAAGTAAATGTCATGAGACCTGCACTGGGGATGTCAGATTTATCCTTGAGATCGGCTACAGGTGCAGAGCCTGGGGAGTTATGTGCATACTCACCGGTTACTTAACGAGCTCTTATATCCCAGTGGTCGATGTTGGAGGTTGCGTGGGGCGGTTTTGCCCCCAACCACCAAGCGGTGTTGTTTTTAGGTGCTCACCTTCGAGTGAGCTGCAGGTTTGCGTGGAGCTGAAGTTTGACTTTGGAAGACCAATCGATTCGGTGCCACATGGCAGCACCAGAAAGTTCGGGACTTGAAGGAACATTCGAATGAGTGAAATTCGAGTGTCGAATTTCACCCCTTCGAAATGTTACGAGAACATTCGCGAAGTGTAGCGATGCGATGTTACGAACGCGGTTCGATGTTGATTGCATGCTATAAAACTAGTTGCTTTGTATGGCATGCTTCATACTGAAATCGAGGATCAGTTTGTACATGGTGCATTCGAACCCAAATTCCAGAGAGCTCCTAATCTTTATTCCTAGAGCATAGTCTCCACGTTTCCACATATAGCTCACTCGTTTCTTAGGCGAATGAAGTGATTGACGGCTCGTTGGAAAGCGAAGACATAGCTCTAGTGATTAGTACAAATCCCAGTTCCTGCCAACCAGAGGAGAGTCCTCTACAACAGTCGATTGGCTGTGATTTTGATCTAGCATATGAACAAAAGGTCGCTGGTTCAAGTCTCGTGACCGCACATGCTTGTGCCCATGTCGCTGTTGCTATGCCGTGACCAAAGGCATTCCTGCGGGGGGGGGGGGGGGGGGGGGGGGGGTGTCAAAAGACCTGCATAAGGATGTCGGATTGATCCTTGGGAAGGGTTGCAGTGTCAGAATAGTAGGACGAGGAGGAGCTTGGGAAGCTAGGGCATCGAGACAGTTGCAAGAAATTAGAGGAAAAGAGGTTTCAATTGAGGGGAAAGGCCCGAGAGATACAAGCAAGAGCAATTTGGGGTGTACCACCAACAGGTGTAAGAGATATCTCCAGAAAACCAAGCAGCAAGCAGTTTTATATAAAATATAAGTTTAACACACCCCTTAAATTGCTTGCAGCAATAACTAGTGGAATTACACCCCTGAAGGGGTACAGCGCCCAAGCACGACGAACACTGAGAGGAGCAGCGGAAGCAGGTAGGTGCAACGGCTGTAACTTCAGCGGCGGCAGGTGCGGCGGCAACGCCAGCGACGGCAGCACCAGCGGCGGCGGGTGCGGCGTCGGGTGGTGCAACGGCGGCATCTGTAGTGACAGCAGGTGGAAGGGGCGGCGGTTGCTCAGCGGTTAGAAAAGAGGGAGAGAGAGTAAGGAGGAGGAAGCATGACGAGGAGTGGAAGGATAAATGAGAAGAGGAATGAGAAGAGGAGTGTGAGAGGATCGAGAATTCACATCGTATTTTAACTATGATCCTGGTACAACTATGAGGTTATATATAGGTACGACACTAGGCAGGTAGCCCGGGTGTTACTAGAATGTATCGAGGCTCTGGAACTAGAAGGAATAGAGCCGCGAGATAGTGCGAAAAAATAAATAAATTAAATAAGTGCATA